ATGCTGACTGATTATTGTCAATCGCTCATGTTTAATGAATATTCGAATAGCAATGTTAACTCATGACTCTCTTATTTACTGATATGTTAGCACTGCACAATTGATATCTAAAGGTGTTGAGTCATTGAACGCGAAATCAAGCTTGAAAAACAACTGATAGATGAAATCGATTTAGTTCAGTGTTTTGTCAACCCGATCTTGCTGCTCATCTAGCTGCATGCGAATGATCGGGCAACTGTTTCCGAAAAATATCGCACATAGCTTTCATAAAATCGCCCAGTGATGTTCATTGTGCATTTCTAAACTCACGCAGAAATTTATTTTCGAAAACAAAACTTACTTGTCCTTGGACAATCTATTGGAGCAGTCATTCAGTCTGAATGCTTGCTTGCTTGAAATTTCTAAAGTCTGTCTAACAAACTGATCAGAAAGTGAAATGGAACATCCTGTTTGGTCATTTCGATTACTGCAAATCACCCATCTGTTCGACTGTCATCTTAGGATTCTTGTTTACTGTTTGTTGGTTGAAGAAAAGAGTTAATTCGTCATACCACTCCATCAAGTTTACTGAAGCCGTCATCAAAAAATGTATAAGATTGTCGTCTTGCATCTATTGAATGCAAGAAGCTTTTGATGCATTCGCTTCGCACAAACTCAATTCCCAACTCTGCAATAAATTCTCTCTAAATTGGCTCTGTTCGTATTCAGCTGACGCATCGCTTTGTTCATCGCGATTTATTCATTTTGTTCTTTGTTTATCTTTTGTTAATCCTTTGTTATTATTTCTCACAAACAGTTGGCTATTGTTTAACGAGAAGAGGATTATTTTGATGCGGTGAAACCAGTGATAGAACGCAATACTTGTAATTGAGTAATGGTCAGTTTACGTTTTATGGGCGAGTGTGGATAAAAGTCAGTGTAAAATCGCAACGTTATTTTGGTAAATCTCAAATATATTGCTCTCTGTGCTGTAATTTCATATTATTACCAATAGTTCCTGTAGATAGAACATTATTCTTGTGAAGTTTGCAGTTTTCATTTCTCGCTGATACAATTACCTTTGGAAAAGTTATAAGTACATGTCATTCAGGTACTTAATGAACACCTGTTCGTCCTTAGTTGTATTGATGACATATCCTATTATCTCAATCCAGCCAAGATAACTCATTTGTTTGGTGTTCATGCAGACATGGCCAGTGGCTTAGTGATCTATGGATAGTGCATGCTCGTGAATTTGACTGATGTAGCACGACCAATTGATGTATCATAATGAAGGAGTGATGAGTGATGCTGCTCGCTTAGAATATTGAAATACCACTAACGTGTATGGATTTGGATTACGAATGCCGATATCAATAGATTGAGCATATGCGCGAATGTTTGGTGTGATATTATAAGGCGTTGATGAACGAGTGGATTATTCAAAGTTGGTGATGTTAGTGCGAGGATGGTGAGACCATCAAAATTTATCGTTTTCATGAATTCTCAATCACATTCCCTTTCATGTTTCAATTGTATTATCGAATCGCTCTTATCGCCGTATCAACGGCTTCCCCTGTATCGTAAAGCGACTCTAGCATTGCCTTACGCGCTTTATAAAGTGATCATTTGTTAATGTGGTGTCATAACTTTGCATTTTTAATGAATATCTTATAATGACGATCGCTTTATTAACGTAACTGTAATAAGTATTGTTAGTTGCGGTTTTATTGAATAACTGAAAACTTGTGCAATTTTCGAAATCGCATGAATTGGGACAGAAAGTTGC